TTTCTAAAAAATGTCTTCTCTTTCATTCTTTATTTCTTTCTTTCTTAATATTTTCCTAATATTTCTTCAATTTTCTTTGTTTCTTTCCTTTTTCCTAATCTTTCTTTCTTAGCATATGTCTACGTTTTCTTTCTTTCTTTCTTTCTTTCTTAATATTTCCCTAATCTTTTTCATTTTTCTTTGTTTTTTCTTTCTTTCTTTCTTTATATTTTTCTAAATCTTTCTTCATCTTCGTTTGTTTGTTCTTTTCTTTCTTTGTTTCTTTCTTAAAGTTTTCCTAATCTTTCTTTCTAAGCATATATCAATGTTCTCTTTCTTTGTTTCTTTCTTTCCTTTTTCCTAATCTTTCTTTCTAAGCATATATCAATGTTCTCTTTCTTTGTTTCTTTCTTTCCTTTTTCCTAATCTTTCTTTCTAAGCATATATCAATGTTCTCTTTCTTTGTTTCTTTTCTTTCCTCTTTTCCTAATCTTTTCTTTCTAAGCATATATCAATGTTCTCTTTTTTTGTTTCTTTCTTTCCTTTTTCCTAATCTTTCTTTCTAAAACATATATCAATGTTCTCTTTTCTTTTTCTTTTCTTTTTCTTTCCTTTTTCCCAATCTTTCTTTCTAAGCATATATCAATGTTCTCTTTCTTTCTTTCTTTCTTTCCTTTTTTTTCTAATCTTTCTTTCTAAGCATATATCAATGTTCTCTTTCTTTGTTTCTTTTCTTTCCTTTTTCCTAATCTTTCTTTTGTTTTCTTTCTTTCCTTTTCTAATCTTTTCTTTCTAAGCATATATCATATATCAATGTTCTCTTTCTTTGTTTCTTTCTTTCCTTTTTCCTAATCTTTTTCTTTCTTTCTTTCCTTTTTTCCCAAGCATATATCAATGTTCTCTTTCCTTTGTTTGTTTCTTTCCTTTTTTCCTAATCTTTCTTTCTAAGCATATATCAATGTTCTCTTTCTTTCTTTCTTTCTTTCTTTCTTTTCCTTTTTTTTCCTAATCTTTCTTTCTAAGCATATATCAATGTTCTCTTTCTTTCTTTCTTTCTTTCTTTCCTTTTTCCTAATCTTTTCTTTCTTTCTTTCATATATCAATGTTCTCTTTCTTTCTTTCTTTTCTTTCCTTTTTTCCTAATCTTTCTTTTCTAAGCATATATCAATGTTCTCTTTCTTTCTTTTCTTTTTCTTTTTCCTTTTCCCTAATCTTTCTTTCTAAGCATATATCAATGTTCTCTTTCTTTCTTTCTTTTCTTTCTTTTTCTTTTTCCTAATCTTTTTTTTTTTTTCTTAGCATATTTCTACATTTTCTTTTCTTTCTTTCTTTTTTCTTTTCTTTCTTTCTTTTTTTCGTCTCTATTTTTTTCTTCAGACTTTCTTTCTTAAATGTCCTTTCTTTCATTCTTTCTTTCTTTCTTTCTTTCTTAATATTTTCCTAATATTTTTTTTTCAGTTTTCTTTTTTCTTTCTTTGTTTCTTTTCCTAATCTTTCTTTCTTAGCATATGTCTACATTTTCTTTCTTTCTTTCATTCTTTCTTTTTTCTTTCTTTTTTCTTTTTTTTTCTTTCTTTCTTTCTTTCTTTTTCTTTCCGTCTCTATTTTTTTTTCTTCAGACGTTCTAAAAAATGTCTTCTTTTTCATTCTTTCTTTCTTTCTTTCTTTCTTTCTTTCCGTCTCTATTTTTTTTCTTCAGACTTTCTAAAAATGTCTTCTCTTTCATTCTTTCTTTCTTTCTTTCTTTTCTTAATATTTTCCTAATATTTTTCTTCAATTTTCTTTGTTTCTAATTTCTTTCCTTTTCCTAATCTTTTTCTTTCTTAGCATATGTCTACATTTTCTTTCTTTCTTTCTTTTTCTTTATTTTTCTTTCTTTTTTTCTTTCCATCAATTTTCTCTTTTTTTTCTTCAGACTTTCTAAAAATGTCCTCTCTTTCTTTCTTTCTTTCTTTCTTTCTTAATATTTTCCTAATATTTCTTTTCAGTTTTTCTTTCAGTTTCTTTCTTTCCTTTTTTCCTAATCTTTCTTTTTCTTAGCATATGTCTACATTTTTGTTTCTTTCTTTCTTTCTTTCTTTTTTTTTTTTTTCTTTTTTTCTTTCTTTCTTTTTTCTCTTTCTTTCTTTATATTTCCCTAATCTTTTTTCATTTTTTCTTTTGTTTTTTTCCTTTCTTTATCTTTCTTTTCTTTATATTTTTCTAAATCTTTCTTCATCTTCGTTTGTTTGTTCTTTTCTTTCTTTGTTTCTTTCTTAAAGTTTTCCTAATCTTTCTTTCTAAGCATATATCAATGTTCTCTTTCTTTGTTTCTTTCTTTCCTTTTTCCTAATCTTTCTTTCTAAGCATATATCAATGTTCTCTTTCTTTGTTTCTTTCTTTCCTTTTCCTAATCTTTCTTTCTAAGCATATATCAATGTTCTCTTTCTTTGTTTCTTTCTTTCCTTTTTCCTAATCTTTCTTTCTAAGCATATATCAATGTTCTCTTTCTTTGTTTCTTTCTTTCCTTTTTCCTAATCTT